TGCACTTTGCAGCCAGGAGATGTTGCTGTTCTACGATGAGGGGACAATCTGTGGCCCCTGAGGGGGTGGGGGGGAAGCAATTCCTAGTAATAGGCTGTAACTGCAATGGGTGACTAACTCTTCTGTAAGGAACAATTTTTAACGCGAGTTATGAAATATTTAATTTCAACAAATGGTGTCACTGGCCGGCATGGATCGAACGAAACGAAACGAAATGGAACGGTTAAAAATGCAAAGGAAATAGCCAACGAAAACCTATTACAATATAAATTAAGCTAAATATACATAGGTAAGCTACAACGAAAATAACGATGAAAACTACATAATACAAAACTTACATTTGTTGCGATATAGACGAGTCACTGTCTACCGGCGAAAAAGCTGCACAAAGTGGTACGACGAAAAACAACAGAACTTACTGGGCAAAACTGAACAAACTACGATGAACAATACGGTTTAAATACATATTATGTTACGTAACGTTTAAACGAATTGACACGAAGCATAGCGCACGCCTAATTTTTACTGCAATTAGTACTGTTTGACTGAAAGAACAATAAACAAAGGAAAAAGAATAAGGGAATGTGCCGCTGGACGGGCCCGTTCGCATTTTTACGACTGGATTTATTATAATGGGGTGACATTTTTAATAGGGTTATTAGAATAGGGTCACACATTTTCGGGGTTTTTGGAGTTGAGTAGATTCTAGTGAGTAACTCTAGGGATTTGCAAATGTGTCAATGAATTTTAGGATGACCCACTTGAAAGGGTTTACAAGGTAGATGTATAAACAGAAAGTTGCTGAATTGGATTAATAAAATTACATTTACTCAAAACTGGCTAATATAGGATCTATGGTAGGCCACTGAATGATTATAGGGCAAGGGTTCTGAGAGGCCAGCAGCACAAATCCAGTAAATATTTACCCAAGTACCCTCTCATTCCGGGTCTGTGGCATCCCTGTGCAAATAAAATTTAAAAAATATATTACCCTCAAGAAGAAGCTTTACAGGATCCGTCAAAGGAGACTGATGAAGACCAAGCTCCACCTGAAGACAGTAATCATTCTCGTCCTTCATGTTCAAATCATGGAGTATGAATGCAACATG